TCGACCTGACTTTTCATTGACAATGTTGATGTTATTCGAGTAGATTGGGCAAATTGGTGAGGGATTTCCCGTAGTGAAGTCCCACGTTAGCTGGTAGGTGTTGCCGCTGATATGCTTAATGGTTAGAGGGACGCTTGGAACTAGTAATGGAAAAAAACGGTTAATTAGGATATCCACGCTGGCAGTGTTGTTATTTCCTTCCAAATGCTTTTCTAAGGTACCTAAAAACGCAATCCTTTATAACTCAAGACAACGTGCAAGAGGGTGGTGAGTCTGGCAATTCTCAGCCATGATAATAAAAAATCGAAAAAGTAGAATTCTACCTGTTGTGATACTAAACCCCTCAGACCAAACAGTTTTTTTAAATGTATTGCGCTTTAAAACACATAAACCGCTTTCACCAAAAAGACAGTTCATTAAAAAAATTAAAAACAACGTAATTGACTCATGCGCAAAAGGGCAGAAAACAAGGAAACACAAACACTTAATCTCCGAATTTGTCAACCAATGAAATAATAACAACTAAAACATGTACAATTTTATCCGGCCAAATTATCATAAGTTTAAAAAAGCGTGTAGTTTAAACAATCTATTGATAAGATTTAATTGTGGTAACTACTAACAAAAACTTATCGAGTTCAATCATTCAGCAAAAATGTTACTTGATTACAATAATGTGCTGATTTTCCTATGTCAAATTGACTCACTAGCATGTGTAAAGATCGGGCCAATTCTAGATGGAGGGCTTTGTAGGTCTCCCTTCTTCGCATAAACAGAAACATAATAGTATTTGCCCTCTTCCAAATTATCCAAGTTTATCGAAGATGATAATGTTTCCTTCCGCATTGTGTTTCCATCTTTGGTACCGTATACAACATCATACGACACACCGTCTTTATCAGAAGGATCGTTTTCCCAAGATAAACTTATTGAGTTGCTTGAAACTTTTGTGTATACCAAGTCCTGTGGACTCCTGGGGGCTAGGAAAAGATTGATTCCATTAATTTATGAAAAACCACCAAAAATAGTTTTACAGCTTTTATGTACAAAAAAATAAAATAATTAAAATAAGACTTTCAACACCATTATCAATTAAGTTATCACTGTAAAAAAGCTTATGAAAAAAGTTAGTTCCTGAAGATTATTTGACCTTGGAGTAAGAAGACTGGCTAGGTCTTTGAAAATATTTTACACAGGATGAATGCCAATTTTATGGGTTCTAAAAATGATACATCAGCTAACATTTCCGGTGTATTCAAAATGTATAGGATGGTCAATTTACTTGAGCTATACGTCAGGAGATATCCACTTGGAAAGGCGTAAAAATGAAGCATCTCATATTAAATGGTATAAAATCCTTATACGCAACTATATTCAAAAAGGTAGGCAAAGTCTGCAGGACAAAATGTTTTTCTCTTAAGAAATTTTGCGAAAAATTTAAAACACACCTGCAGCTAAAACCTTAACTTTGGTATCCGGATAGGGCGTTTCTTCCTTCCCAACTAGATTCACTGTCTTAAGACTCAAATCATACTCTGTATTCGACTTAAGGCCTGTAAACGTGTATTCATCTGCTGTAGCAGGAAGTACAGCACTTGAAACAATCGACTTATCCAATTTCAAAATTGGTTTGTAAAGATATGCCGCACCATCACTCCATGAAACTGTGATTGAATGAGGCGTTACTGAATGAGTAACACTTATCGCCACTGAAAGTAGAAAAAAAACAAATTGAGTTTTCTAGTAAAAATTATAATTCAAACCAAAGATTAAACATGCTTTTCGTATTAGTATGAGTAATAATATCCATCAAATAATTTAGGCACATTTAAATTATTGTCTTAATTTTTTTGAATTTTAAAATCAAAACTTAAAAGGCTGTGATTATTGCACATTGATAAACAGATCATAAACAAGCTTAAGTTATAACTTGCTTTATTATTTACCATGTTTGTGCAATAATCAGGATTCATTAATAAATGGGTTTTGCTGTTAAAAATATTAAACAAAATGCCTAACGTTTAATTCATTCACCATAAATTAGTAAAAAAGACTCAAACATACAGCTTCGAGAAAATCCGAGAAGACACAATACAAAAAGCCCTTGAACCATTATCCAGACGCTTTGATAAGCAACGCGCCACAGAGTAACCTACAGATGAATATTGCTGTTAACTAAAACAAAGAACATTAACAATTTTTTAATGAACGAATTAGGCATTAGATTCATTAAAAAACATGATTTTTTTGAAAGGTAACAAAATTGCCATTTAAATAAAAAGTAGTTTATTTGATCCATGTGATGCATGCGTTCAGAAACAACTTTAAAAAGGCATGTAGTACATGCTGCTAATTCATGTAATATAAAATTTAATGGCATGTAAATTTTTTCCTATCGACCGCTTCAAAATATGCATATCAGGCAATGTTTGCGATATGAATTAAATCGCATATTAATTTCCTGGATTTTAATTATAACGAGATATATATCCATTTCCATGCTAGTAACATCTGCTCCATTAGTTAGTTATGACAATTCTATTTACTTTTTACTGTACATGCTTCTTTAAAGCCTAACAAAGCAGAATTCAATACAGTGTGGCAAATTCAAATGACATTGACTTATAGATGCGTTAACTTTACCAATCTTTTTAAGAATGCGTGTTTGACAAGTAGTAAATTGGTCTCTGATATTACTTTATAAGTACTAAAGGCCGTAACTATGTTTTTTACTGCGTCAGGGTACTCCATCTATTCACCATCTTTTAAAAGTGGGTCATCTTTTATCATTACGGCTTGGTTTTGGATTAGGTGACTTGATGGAAGGATGAATGTTATAAATGGTGCAATAAACCGAATTTATGATCGAAATTAATTTTTACCAGTTCATGAACATAATTACCACGCGAATTTATTCGGTTGTCTTAAAGTCAATTCACGCAGGGATGTTTACTCTGAGGTGTATCAACACCATTCTTTCAAAAGCTGAAGCCTTTTTTCTCCATTTGTAATCGTTCTTACAAACCCGATATGTGGCTGTAGATCTAGTATTTCTGTCTTATTGCGGTAAATAGCCCAACATTGTATTTGCATTTATGGCAAAATTTGCGCTCTAAAATGAAGAATACAGATGTATCATTATGGATCATGTTAATCTTTTACAAGTCAGATTAGTCCAAATGCCTCCGCAACTTAGGTCTTTCTCGAAGGTTACACCTCCAATCCTCCAAGAAGATGTAGCGGTTTACATATGAAGTTTTACAAAAGACTATTTAAAGCTGTAATCAGGGAATTGGCAGAGCAATGTGAGTAGCGGATTAATGCTGCGGCGTTTCCAACACTATACGTGTTTAGCGTCAATCATGCCCTTGCGAATTTAAAAATACTTGACGTGAACTCGATCAATTATAATAAAACTAAATATAAGTGCACTGGTCTTGCTTTAAGTTGGCTTAAGAGTGGCTTTTAATCGTAGTAATTTTCAATGGTGTTCTTCTGGCGAAAGCTAAAGACGAACATTTGATGAGTTCACGAAACAGTAATCTTTACAAGTTGACTTACTTTGATAAATCTGCGTTTTGAAATTCGCAATTTACCTAGTTTTAGGACACTTAAACCAGCATAACTAGAGAAGTTTGCAGAAGTTGTTGAGTCTGATGGGATAATTTATTTATGGAGACAATCTGCTTTTGTAGGGAAAAGCTATAAAACAAAAGATTATGCACGCCGACGCAATCTCCTGCAATGTTTATGTAAAAAAGTATTAACATAAGAATATGCATAAAACAGACTGACTGTTGATTTTCGGGATAATTTGTCCCAAACGTTTCATACAAATTGTATGGCTCAAGTAATTAGTGAAAGCGGATCTAATTTTACTGGTGGTCGTCATAAAGCGGCCTATGTAAACGGATAAGAACACGTTAAATCGGCCCAGGAAATCTCAAACGCAGCACTAACTCCATCGTAATCTCCAAATATGTCTCGGGGCACAGTTACAAAGGTGTTTATGGAATTTAAATATAATATGACTGGTGACGGAGACACGGATCAAATTTTAAAAAAATAAGCGTCTCAAGGAAGAAATTAATAGTAACACCCACCAGATCAAGTTACCTTCACGACAATGGCCCACTCCATTCGGTTGTTAAGCCGACGCATATGCAATGAACCGAGACACCAGGATCGCCTGACGAAAGCCATTTAAGTACAGATTGGCTGGTCGAGTAATCTCGACATACTTTACCTAACTAGTTTATTTACCAGTTAAATATTTAGTGAATGAAATTAACTTCCAATGAGACAAACCACAGAAGAACGCGTCCTCTAGGGCAATAATTCTGCACGTGAAATGCAGTTCTTTAGTATAAACTGCATTGTCAGTTATTGCAGGTGTCAAAACACACCAGGCAACGGATCTAATGAAAAACGAAAGCCATCACAATCTTGACGCAAATATAAGTTAGATCAGTCATGGAAGTATCGCGGCTTGAATATAGTGCTCCAAATCATGAACATCCTGGCGTTTGGTCGACGTGAATTTCTTTGAGGAAACAAATCTTAGTGTTGGCAAAACACGAAGTCACTTTAGCGCAATGTTATTGGTGCATAACCAATTTAGGGCTGTCCGATAAAAATTGTCACAGTTGAATGCTTCAGTGCATGAACAGGGCCTCTCAAGTAAGTGTTTTGACGTGAACACGCGGATCCTACTCAAAGTCTGAGTGAGGAACTTTTCACAATAATCTGAGGCATCCATCACGCAGGACTAAGCACAAATTGACTTGAATTTCGACCCCAACCGATAACACGTATTTCATAGTGAACAGCGTAGCGCAAATCTGACTAGAAATAACAAAATCAAAATGTTTTGCCAGCTGACATTCGCTCTCGCAATCCTTGTGTGGCTTTATGTTCTTTTGTTAAACGACGGCATATGCAATATAAAAAATCACATTTATGTATTTACATAATTTGTAAGACTTGTGTACGACGCAAAGCTATAATTTTGACAACGGTTTCGCGCCAATTATCGCTAAACATGTAGCCAGGGTGTTCCGAGCCATTTTGAAAATTGCGATTCGCGACTAAAACAAGAAAAGACAACATTAACACCTGTGATGACCCTTCGAAGGGCGTGCAATCCTAACATTAGTTTGAAAAACTCACCAAAGCCAAGTTTTCGGATTCGGCCGTAAGGACAGGCAAGAAACGCCAGGCCCGGTTTACAAGGCCACTAGAAAATCAAAGTCGCACAAATGTACCACAGAGTTACATGCGTAAATTATAAGGGGAATAGTTAAAAACTCTTGAGGAAATTAGCAGAAAATCAGAACTTTAACAATTTCAATTTGAACTTTTTGTGATCATATCAGGACGCTTAAGCAGCACTAAAGAGATAGAAGCCATTGCAAAAAGACGTAAACATCTTCTTACTAGACAATCACTCCCACCCTGTTGAACTCTGAGATACGGTGTGTTCGTTTTTTTGTGTAGAGATATCATGCTAACCATCCGCTAAGGGGAACAACTTACGTTAGGTGGGAGCAGTACCGAAGCAGGCCGTCAGCTTCGTATTTCACATAGGCATGAGTTAAGACCTCCGGGAATCTGAAACCGAACAAACAGAGCATGGGATGTTGCCAGTTTAAGAAACAAACGGGCATTAGATAATTAAGAAAATGGTTTGCACAGGAACTCGCGCAGGTAAACGCATAACTTAATGACTGAGAACTTTAAGCATTCACCTGATGCCACATGAGGAACACCTAGGAATCACTGATTTACACATTAAGGGGCTTGTCGGATCAATAATGACTATGCCTTCCAGTGCTTGTAGAAGCTGACTGCCTAATTTCTTGTAGTAATCAAGCAACTTACTAGCACAAAGCCTATCTGAATTGATCTGGTTAGATTGCGCCAATTATTTGCGTGGTGTGCTGACGAATCCAAAAATGTCGATTAAGACACGTTACTTTAAAGCTCCCTCGTCTGGTTTTATTCATAATATTGGCTTTAGGCCTGTGGTTACAAGTTTTCAAGCTCGAGACTCATAATTCATATCATAAGCTACCTCCAGAAATCTCCCTACTTCTCCATGTAGTGAACCGTCTTTAGCAATTAATCATCAAGTGACATGGTTTCAGTAGATACGGACGTCCTTTCATTTTTCCCATGGTACATAACGAGTACTTGGCGAAATATTGTTCACGTTTACTGAAATGCTTCAACTTTCAAAGAAAACTAGTCGCGATAACCTTGCCAAGACTCGTCTTAAAAACCATCAGAATCAATGATGAGGATTCTCTTGGCTTGCCCTGTTTGCGAAAGCACTGGAGGTTATTGCCAACAGGAAATGACTTACGTGGCCAGATGTGCACAGACCTCCTCTTCCACTTCACGAGAAGGACGATTAGATGGTATTTCGTAGAAGGAGTGCACGAGTCGCGCATTTTCTTCATCGGCGTCGCCGTTTCCGCCTAACAAACCCCTTGCAATTGCCTTTTGCTCGAGGCTACAAAAAGTACACTTCGTTTGCACCAACACAGGAGACAAACCATAATGTTGGTGAAGTAGTGTGCACGGAGTTTACTTCCATCCGTCATTTGACACGCATTAAGAGGTGACACCGAGAATGAGCTAACACCTGAAGTTGTATTTTACACAGTCAGAATATGACCACGGTCAATTGGCACCGAATGCACATAGATGCCAGACGTAGAGCAGGCACGCTTTTATGCACTGCGACGTAAACAACACAATTCCGATGAGCTATCTAGTCAACGGTCGTGTCTCTCGCCCTCTCCCGTCTTCTTCATCTTCGCGGGTACTCAATTAGCGTTATCGGGCTAAATTAAACTTAGTGTCCGCGGCGTGGTTTTGAAATGTACACCGGAGCCTACAACACGTTCAAGTTACTATTGACCGTGGCAGTAATGAAATATGTCATAAAAGGATTTCCGCTCCTCAGAGGCGCAGTAATTATGTCAACAGGTAATACTAGTCTTGAACAATAGTTAAATTAAGGTTTTACTTGAAATAACGAAGCAACTTTTAAAATAGTACCCAGTAAGCTGGTGTCACTCTTGAATTGATGGTCCTATACGATGGCTAGAAATCGGTTCCTAAAGCAAACGCAGCCCTTACATGTCCAATGGATTCACCGAACACTACAACAATGACAATTCGACCAGACACTAAGACATTCCATGTCAATTAACTCCACCCAAAAATCTGACCAAATTTATTTATTCAGTAAATCAAAAACAGTGGATCGGGGCTATAACAAGCTAAAACTTGTCAGGTGACCACTTTGGCTGACACTACTTAGCTCGAGAATTCCTGACAAATCAATCACCCAGACATCCCATGAGATCCTTCATCCAAAGTGAAACGGTTATACGGTTGAACACCGTGCCAAGAAATCATGCACAGGAGTGCCGCTTTTGAATGATTGCGCCGATGACAGGAGGGGTGTGTCGAGGACAGAGATAATAAGAAGTACTCGTCAGTTTGGCAAGTCACTGGCGATAGTGAATTATGTGTACATGCCCAATTATCTTATGACTACACGATAAATTACATTACTTTGCGGCATTTACCTCATTGACGTGAAGCTGGATTTTTGATGGGCGAGTTGTTGTAAAGTGATCTAAGCAAGGCTTAGATAGACTGCCAGCAAAAGTGGCAAGCGTCATTGTAATGAAATGAATCCAACTGTTATGCTAAACATCCACCGAGATCGATTAAGGGGTGAATGGGTGATAAAGAGGACAATACACGATGCCAACTAACAAAGGGGCCACCATGGTTGTTGGCTAACATTTTCGCCATAGCAGTAACTTCGTGCACACTAAAATGAGTTGCAACCCCTGATGATGCTAAAAGAGGCTGTCATGTGTGTTGGGTGGAAAAAAACTTTACCTACAGAGACGGGCATGACAGTACTGTAATCCGAGCCCCGTAAGATCGCGTGAATCGACGAGGGAATGGGAACCACTGTGGCCGGTCTGACTGACTCCATCCAGGCGAATTTGTAATTGGACTGGCTGAAGACGCGGCTTCCGCAACATCTCAGCAACCAGCCACGTGACGCCCATCTGATCGGCCACAACGTCGAAAGCGGGATCGCTGGGATCAACGCGAGTGCCTAAAACGGGGGATTGCTTTACTCCCGTACCTTTATGTGATGCCAATGGCCCTACCACAATGGCACACACATCCTGGATGACCGGCCTCAAGTGTGAACCCAACCAAAGAGGTGGCGTGGTTTTGATCACTGCTTACGTCGCAGTAACATTTACCAATTTTGTTGTAACACGGACATTACTGTATTTAGTTTAACAGGTCCCAAGAACGCACCAATTTAAGTTGCGCATTTGTGAATGAGAGAACTTATTGAGCTCAAAGTCGTGATGAGATCAACCATTCCCCAAAGTCAACAGGCGTCAAATAAAATCGAAAGTCTGGGCTTCGCACACAGCATGCTCTGGGTAGTCTACGACCGAAGAACGAAAACTAGAAGTTCAGTAGATCCCCGTCCCAAGGGGACGGATGATGCCACCTTGAAACGTGGTGATTCTGGCTTGTCACATTCCATTGGAGGACATTTTTCAAAGCGTCGTTGATATTAAGGCCGAAGAAAATCCCGAAACTAAGCAGGAATGAGCCGCTAATGAAAACTTTACGATAAAACATCCCTTGTTTTCTTTTAAAGGAAATTTGTGGATCCAAAACTGGGTGTCAGTCGATACAGGTATTTTCTTATCGCATAAGGTGGAATCAAGTATTTGTAAAAAAGGACAGGTTAAATAAACCAAATTTAGGGGAATTTATTTAAAAAACGTAGCTTTGAGCAATCGATAGGTTAAACAGCTTAGATAGCATCTGGAAGGAAAGATGACAACGAAGCCTCAAAATTCTCCTAATCTGATGCTCATACAGCAATATTTAGTGCGAGTGAATATACTGGCGGTTACATGCCAACAGTCCAAGAAATGCTCTTCGATAGGTTTAGCTAACTACCCTATAATCGATACAAAAGGAACACAACGATACTTTAGGACAAGTCTATTAGCAGGAGACGGCATCACCTGCAAAACGCCTGCATGAGGCTTTGTTTATCAGCGAAGATGAACTCACAAGGAGACTGCAGCATCCTGCGACGAGCTTCACGCCTAGCCGAGTCCAAAACGTCGACCAGAAAAAGGCCACTGCCGCGTCTTGAACTGGCACCAGCGACTTTCGCAAAGCGAACGTGAAGCGGCCACGGCGACGTCCCACTGACAATGCAAAAAGTCACAAACACTTCCAGGAAAAATACGTAACAAGCTTTAACTCAAAAGCATTTAAACAAGTCAGAAAACGAGTAACACTGGGAATAAATTCCGCTTCCAAATAATATCAACCAAGTCCAATGTAAATGACTATAAATAAAAACTTGTATGCAATAAGTGATAATTAAAATGAAGACACATGATCAAGGATTAAGTATTAAGTGAACACTGACGACTTCAAAATGTCACGCACCGCGCCACATTCTACTACCGGTTGAACGTGTGAGTGCGTCGGGATCTTCCAAGACAATAGGGATGGAATGCCCTGAACACTCAATGCACTCAAAACGTTCGCCGATAGGACTAGCCATCCGCGTGATGTGTCCTGCATTAGTAAGCCCTATAAGATGCTACATTTGCATTCATGATGGGTTAGTTTTGGATGTGGGTTCTTACACCTGGAAGTGTAGAGGAATGACAAAAGTGGTTTAGTTCTCACTCCGAGTGTTGTCGTCGCTACACTTCATGCTGTTCGAGCTCCCACGAACCAATCTTCTGTGTGTGTCTGTGTGTGTGAGTGCGTTGGGATCTTCCAAGACAATAGGGATGGGATGCTCCGAACATGGTACAAGCACTGGAAGGACATTTCTGTCAGTCTGCGGTTTCATATCTTTCGGTTTGCGTGCGCCACTCCTCACTACCAAACTAAGGCCTCTTATTTGATGCGGACTTTTTGAGTTAATGCAACTTGTCAATTCGAATTTGCCAGGTAAACTTTCGGACGTTTCCATGTCGCACGGAATTCAGCCCAGTAGTTCAGCCCAATTTAGAAATAGGTTAGGACGAATGGCTGGTGTCGTTTGCTTTTGCAGGAGGAACTTACGGCTTCGCCCATTCGTATCCGAGGGTGGAGAGTAGGTGCGCCAGGTTCGAGAAGTGCTCTCGTTGGCCATCGTCCACCTTAACGAAATTGGAAAAAAAGCAGTCCGAAAGGGGGCTGGTTGTGGCGAACATGAGCAATGTAGCACTATCATGTACAGCTAACTGCAACCCGAAACAACCACAATCCACGTTTGTTCGTGGTGTCTGCAGTGTCCAAGAGACAAAAAGGTTTCTTCGGGTACCCAAAGAGAGCGTCAGGTTAAAGCGAAGGGCAACATGGCCTTGTGTGTGGCAAGTGTGTGTGTTTAATTAAGCCACAAACCATCCGCATTCCTCGTGGTTCCCCTCCTTCACTCACGACTTCCGCTTGAGATCGCTGTTGTGACGACGTGCAAGTGTCTCGTTAATTAGTCTTTCAACTGCACTGCGATAATGCAGTTGCGGACATGAAGCATTGAGTAGCGAAGCATTTTTCGTAAGCAATAGTAGTGACGACTAATGATGCTTTGCACAATACCGGAGTGTGCGCCACCTAGGTGTTTGCACGAATGAATAGAGAAGTCGGGGGAAGGGTGTCAATCTCACAAGGGGGGCTGCAGAAAGCGGAAATTTGAGGAGTGTCCACTCAAAATTCGTCGGAGCACTGTTTGTCGTAGGACTACTGTCAGTGATTTGGATTTTCTGGTGCACATTTCCATATTGCATGTATTTTTTTTCTGCTACTGAATGAACATTATCTTATTTTGTGCTCCATGTAGCGTATGAACATTGTTTTCGACCGTTATGAGCATGAATCGGAGTTTGTCCAAGAAGCCTCCTCTCTGGTAAAGCAACTGATTTCGCAACGCATTGCTCGAAGAGAGCCGTGAGTACCTGATTTAAATTTGACTTTCCTCATTGGAAATCTTTAGTTAAAATTTGTGCGAGGAGGTTCTGCCATACTTGTTAGTCGCTGCTACTGACCGGTTTCATTGGTATTGTTTAAGTAAATGTATGATTTTTAAGACCGGTAATTTCATCAGAACAGACTATAATTCTGCGGTTGTCGTCATTCTCTAGCAGGCGAATTCTTACAAGGACTGATTTTAGTTTCAATGTTATATGTATCAGTAATACAAATGAACAGACGGTCAAAGGTAGTCTGATTACCATGTAAAGTTTGTTATAGTGGGCCAGCGTTTTGTGCTCTGCCGATATGATCGTGTGTTGGTGCAGCAGACCAATGTTAAATTTTCCGTAAGATGAGCGCAATCGTGGAGTTTAAATCCGAATTTTTGAGGTATGCGACTTATTATTGGTCATTACAGCGAATAAGCACGTTGCTGCAATACACAAAAGTAAAGTACAACGTTTTGATCTTCAGCGATGTTGAACTAAGCGCCGAAGCTGTGTCTTCGTGAGGTCGATTTTCCAAACGAGCATATTTTGAGCAAAATCGGTAAAATTCAGCGTTGTGTGAGAATAAAAGCAAAGGTTGTTCTAAGGTTCACGCACACGCATTGCTCCCGGTTATTAGTGTCCAGTTTACACCCAATGACACTTAAAATTGTCTACGGTGTCCGGATGTTAACTTTCAATAGCTTGTAATAAGCGACTTGTAGAATCTCATCTGATATCTTTAAGTCAAAACATTTTGGTGGCTTCAGGTGCCAGCACATTTACGCAATGCAAATATCAGAGTTGTTTTCTCAGTGTCGTAAAATGCCAGTAATTTATCATTGATTCGTATCCGGAGACTTCTTGTTCACGACATTGAAGTCCAAATTGAATAGTTTACGGTAAATGACATGTCGCTTATATGTGCCTATTTCCATCTGTTTAAGTGATACTGGGGTCGTAGATTGGGCAGAAAAACGAGCGTTCGGGAAGGGGGGAGAGATGCCAGCCCCCGATGTAGCGGTGGAAGCCTTCCTAATTTAGTATTGATCATAGTTGCGTCTACTGGTTCCACATGGGGTAACATCCCTTGCGTGGGACACGTTCAACCTAAGGTCAAGAATTCGGATTTAAATTAGTGACATAACATGGGTTTGAATATTTAAGGATCTGGTCTGTTGTTTTTTTAACATCCAGATAGTAGTTCAATCGTGTATTGTGTAATTTTAGTGACGGATCTGTAACAGCGGCGTCAAGTGAAGCCGGCAAACGCGTCACCCTATTGAAGAGTGACGGGGGCACGCTCTATCTCACTCGGTAAGCCACTTAATGTAACTGCATTCATCATTTGGTAATTTACCGCTTAGAGTTGGCCGAGTAATCAAATGACTTCTGTCGAACACTTTTACCACGCAAATTCAGCAAAATATGGCTGGCTGTTGGTACACCTGTTCTAGAAGTCGAATACTTGGACATAAATACGGATAGGTGCAGTCAGAAAGATGGATAGACAGTCCAAATACGATTTAAGACTCCTAGTTTCATGCCCTTTCCTACATATCGATTTATCACCGACCATGGACCTTGGTACCATTTCATTCGTCCAATCCTAAGCTTGTCACGCTCGGACATGTCGGTTGGTTGGAAAGCTTGAGTTAGCGGTAAGCGGGAAGTACTGTGTTTCGAACACACGTAAACAGCATGCGACTTTTCATTTTGCATTACGTTACCAGCATACGGAAGCTTTAGCTGATGATGATCGTTAGGTCTCCCTCAAACGAAATGATGCCGCAAAGATGCTGGGCAGACTTTTGGGTAGCTTAATCTCTCAGCATTTAACTTTGGGTCGGCGCCACGCGTCCTGTCAAAGCAGAAAGCACAGCGAACCGGCTTCTCTTGTGTGTATTTATGTACAATCACTTCTGCGGGTTTTATATCCAATAATAACCGGTATATGTGAGTAACTAGAGTTTCGTCGCTTGTAGTTAGTTTCTTCTAAAGTTTGATTCGATGTAGAAAACATAATATTCAAGTCGATTTGAGCCAAATCGATGGTGAGGCAGCGTGAAAGTGGTGCACAGTAATTTGTACCAGTTCAAACGCATACTTTTTTTTATATTAAAAACTGTTGCAAATTTAAGGGACTGTTAGAACTGCTTTTACCGAAGAGTTTTACTTTTCAGTGACCTTGCTGCAGCTATTTCGCGGGCGAAAAAATTTGAATTCGACAGAATGCATTATGTGGTGAGTTCCCTTTGCTGTATCCGCTCATCCCCGCGTCATCAACCCGTACTCAAAGTCAAATGATGTGGCCTATTGCTGGATTTGCAGATTGATGGCAACCGAGACAAAGAAATGCGCTATTTAGTTTGTAAATTCGAGCTCCCTAACGTAATATTATATTTAATGACTTCAAATTCCCGTTTTCACAAAACGCGATGGAAATCCTTTTATGACATATCTCACCACTGCCACTGCTTACCAATAGCACATCGGAAAATGCTTCACTACTCAATGCCTCATGCACGCAACTGCATTGTCGCAGTGCAGTTGAAAGACTAATTAACGAGACACTTGCACGTCGTCACAACAGCGATCTCAAGCGGAAGTCGTGAGTGA